AATTCAACCCAATAGGGCACAGTGGTATTAATCCCTTGCAATTTCCTCAATTCTGAATTTCTCAAAAGAATAGTTCTCCCAAAGATGCTTTTTTCGCAAGGCAACGGGACTTCGTTTTTCTTTGAAGACATTTCGCCTCTCGTCACAGAAGCTTCTTCATCCAGGGTTTCTTCAGCTCTGGATGAAGCTTCTTAGAAGACAAGCGAAACGTCTTCAAAGAAAAACAAGGAAGTCCACGTGCCTCGTGAAAAAGCATCTTTGGGATAACTACAATCTGGATGACTGAGAATCTCCCTAGACCAGGGGTAGGCAACCTTGGCTCTTTTATGACTTGTGGACTTCAACTCCCAGAATTCCTGAGCCAGCATGGGGGAAACTTTGGCCCCCTCATGACTCGTGGACTTCAACTCCCAGAATTCCTGAGCCAGTATGGGGGAACTATGGCCCCCTCATGATTCGTGGACTTCAACTCCCAGAATTCCTGAGCCAGCATGGGGGAAACTTTGGCCCCCTCATGACTTGTGGACTTCAACTCCCAGAATTCCTGAGCTAGCATGGCTCAGCTGGGAAACCTCTCCCTTTCCCCTCAGCATGGCTGGCTCAGGAATTCTGGGAGTTGAAGTCCACAAGTCATAAAAGAGCCAAGGTTGCCTACCCCTGGCCTAGACATAAGAATAGATGTCTATTTCTAAGCAACAAATAATAAGCCCGACTCGCCCCAGAGATGTTTGGTTAAGCAGACGATTCACACTTTGCATTAATCTGAAATGTATGTTGTGGTGATGAGAACCCAGCCACAGCAATTTGTAAAGCCTGACTCACGGATTAGTAGGATAAATGGTTCTAGATAATCAGCAACAGAATGAAAGGAAAGGCATCAAAGCAATCCAGGGTTTTACCTGAGCCCAACCTTACTTAACAGAGTGTTATGCAATTAACATTCATCCCTGAAATGAACCATTTTCTTCTCAAAACCTCCATCGGCGTTTAAATAAGCTTATTCAGATTCAATAATTACATCCCCTAAAGCAGGAAAGGAAGAATATTGTTGCATTTTAGCACTGGGGAGGATTCCTGAGAACAGCACGGAGAAGAACCACAAATGGACCATTGAACCAATCAATCCAGCTTTCTCACTTGAGGCACAAATGAGCAGGTTCAAATTATTCCCATTTTGGAAACTTTATGCAATGATTCTTTGGAGAAATCCATAATTCTGGGAAAGGTGAAAGGAGAGGAGGAGGAAGAGGAAATGGCCACTAGCCAGGTGGAGGGATTTAATTACAACAGTGATGGGTGTATATTTTGGGTGAGCTAAAGGACCAGGTTAGAAGAACTAATTACGAGTAGTTCTCAACTTACAACAGTGATGGCGAACCTTTTAGAGACCGAGTGCCCAAACTGCAATCCAAAACCCATTTATGCATCGTTGGGTGCCGGGTGGGTGTGGCCCATTGGGAGGGTGTGGCCCATTGGGTGGGCATGGCTGTGGTGGTAACGGCAGACTGGGTGGGACTAAAAAGTTCAATCAATCAATTCCAACTTTGCGAGATCTTTTTTTCCCCCCCGCGAGAAGTTGAAATCGATTGATTGATTGAACCTTTTTTTTTTTTTTTGCACACGGCGGCGGAGGCCTAAAGCGAAAAGGTTTTATAAAACCCAGCTGAAGGCCTAGGACTGGAGCGGCGTCTGAGTGCCGCCTCTGGCACCCGTGCCATAGGTTCGCCCCCACTGACTTATAACATTCAGTGACCATCCAAAGTCACAACGGCACCGAAAATAGTGATTTACAACCATTTTTCATACTTAGGACTCTTCTCCCCATGGTCACAAGATTTACATTCGGATGCTTGACAACTGACTCACATTTAATGATGGCTGCAGTGCCCCAAGATCCCCTTTTGACAAACAAAGTCCATGGGAAAACCAGATTCGCTTCACAAACGTGTTCCTACTTTAACAACTGCAGCGATCCAGTTACCAATTGTGACGAGCCGTAAAAGGGGGCAAATCCCCCTGAACAAATGTCTCACTTAGCAATATAAATTTGGGGCTCATAAGTTGAGGACTACCTGCCTATGGTTACAGAAAGACATAATTAATTGTACTCTGTCTACATATAAAGTTGTACTACTAAAATACCCACATCTTCAAATAAAGGCCGTGTTGTTTGCCTTGGGGAGGACATAGGGAAAACCTGAACACGCTTGAGGAACGCCATCAAGGAACAGAATAAAATAGGAGAATCCGCCAGGGAAAGGGAAGAAAATGAGCCAATTTGGTCTAGTGGTTAAGGCATCGGGCTAGACAGCGGGAGACGGTGAGTTCTAGTCCTCCCTTAAGCAGGAAAGCTGGCTAGGTGAGTTTGCACTCATCACTAAGAAATTGTGAGTTCTAGTTCCGCCTTAGGCAGGAAAATGACTTTGAGCCAATCACCAGGAGACGGTGAGTTCTAGTCCCGCCTTAGCCACGAAAGCCAGCAGGGTGATTTTTGGACCAATCACCAGGAGACGGTGAGTTCTAGTCCCGCCTTAGCCACGAAAGCCAGCAGGGTGATTTTTGGACCAATCACCAGGAGACGGTGAGTTCTAGTCCCGCCTTAGCCACGAAAGCCAGCAGGGTGATTTTTGGACCAATCACCAGGAGACGGTGAGTTCTAGTCCCGCCTTAGCCACGAAAGCCAGCAGGGTGATTTTTGGACCAATCACCAGGAGACGGTGAGTTCTAGTCCCGCCTTAGCCACGAAAGCCAGCTGGGTGATTTTTGGACCAATCACCAGGAGACGGTGAGTTCTAGTCCACATTAGCCACGAAAGCCAGCTGGGCGACCTTGGCCCAGTCCCACTCTGTAAGCCCAACCTATCTCACAGGGCTGTTACTGTTGGGAAAATCAGAGGAAGGAAGGTGTGCTGCATATGTTGGCCGCCTTGAGTTATTGGTAAAAATAATAAAATGGCAGGATACAAATAAACAACTCAATAAAATAAAAATCCAGGAGAAGGAAGAGCCTGGCTACCATGTTAGCTCCACTGAACACAACCCAATTCACTCCCTAAACCAGGGGTAGGCCACCTTGGCTCTTTTATGACTCGTGGACTTCAACTCCCAGAATTCCCGAGCCAGCCACCCTGAGAGGAAAGGGAGAGGTTTCCAAGCTGAGCCAGACTGGCTCAGGAATTCTGGGAGTTGAAGTCCACCAGTCATGAGGGGGCCATAGTTCCCCCATACTAGCTCAGGAATTCTGGGAGTTGAAGTCCACAAGTCATGACGGGGCCATAGCTCCCCCATGCTGGCTCAGGAATTATGGGAGTTGAAGTCCACGAGTCATGAGGGGACCATAGTTCCCCCATGCTGGCTCAGGGATTCTGGGAGTTGAAGTCCACGAGTCATGAGGGGGCCATAGTTCCCCCATACTGGCTCAGGAATTCTGGGAGTTGAAGTCCACGAGTCATGAGGGGACCATAGTTCCCCCATGCTGGCTCAGGAATTCTGGGAGTTGAAGTCCACGAGTCATGAGGGGGCCATAGTTCCCCCATACTGGCTCAAGAATTCTGGGAGTTGAAGTCCATGAATCATCAAAGAACCAAGGTTGCCTGTGGTTGTTGTTAGTAGCAAAGTCGTGTCCGACCCGTCGCGAGCCCATGGATGACATTCCTCCAGGCCTTCCTGTCCTCTACCATCTTCTGGAGTCCATTTAAGCTCACGCCTCCTGCTTCAGTGACTCCATCCATCCACCTCCTTCTCTGTCGTCCCCTTCTTCTCTTGCCCTCCATCTTTCCCAGCATTAGGCTCTTCTCCAGTGAGTCCTTCCTTCTCATTAGGTGGCCAAAGTATTCTCCACCATCTGAAAATTCTTCCTAATTGCCAGAGCGAGGGAGTGTCGGGGAACCGACTCAGATGGGGAAAAGCCTGGAGAAGGCCAGGTTGCTCTCCCAATCCTTTTAACCTCCAGTCTTTGGCGTCTGGATTCTCTCCCCCTCCAGCCTTCTAAACAGCCAAACCCAACAGCACACGGATTTAATTCTGGCTGCATCTCCACCAGCAGCTTACCTTGCCTACGAGACCAAGAAGCCACAGCCCCGTCAGCAAACAAAAAGGGCGTGCAACCAATTATTTCAGAACAGACGGCATGCAAACAGTTATTTTATTTTATTTAAAAAGGGGGAGAAAAATCACGGGGATCTCCTTGTGGAATCCAATCTGCCCCCTTTGCCAGCCAATAACAACAACAACAATAATACTCTCATTCTGCATCTCGCCATCCCTGCAAACCCGGATCCCGGCTGCACCAAGCTCAAGCCAGCCAGCCAGCCAGCCAAACTGCAGATAAACAATCTTCTTCCTTGCCACGGAATTACATCAGCCTAGCCCCCACACCCCACCCCATCCCTGCACAAACACACACCCTACCATCCCTCCAGGGAAGGAAAACTGGGCACGCCGAAAGGATGCTGGGGGGGGGGGGCGCGGAGAAGGCTCAGACAGTAACAAGGAAAGGCGTCTCAGAAGCCAGCTTTGAAATCTTGCAACTGCTTTCCAGGAGAGAAACGAAAATGACCAGAACATGGTTTGGTTTAGCTTGGCCCCAGTATGTGGCTGGAGTAGCTCAGCAGGGTTGCTAGCTGCCAACCAAGGGACAAGGCCCTTAGGCTTTGCAAAAGCCCCCCACCCTCTCGAAACCCTGCTTTCCTGCAAACAGCCCAGACAGCTGAAACCAACATTCCTAAGCCTGTGTCTGTGTCTTTGCTATTCAAAGCTGGAATTGGCTTCGCCCCTCGTCTGTAAAAATTGAGGGGCTGGGCGGGGGGGGGGGGCGGGAAAGAGGGAGGGTCTGCTTGTCTTTCCTCGAAACAGGTGAGAAAATGGAAGTAATCCCCCACCCACCCACCCCTTTAGCATCATCTGGGACGGCGAGGGGAAAAGAGAGAGAGAGAGAGAGAGAGAGAGAGAGAGAGAGAGAGAGAGAGAGAGAGAGAGAGAGGATAAAAGAATCAACCTTACCTGTTTTTCTTCTATGGGAGACAAACGCAGACGGGCAGCGCCGGAGGATGGGAAAGGACAGGAGGGGGGGGGGGAAACGGGAAAAAAAGCCAAAATTAGAAGAAGAAAAAAAGACACCTCCCGAGACTCAACGCCCCCTCCCCAAAAAAGGCAAGCAGGTTTTTAAAAACGTGCCTTATTCTCCTCTCCCCCCCCCAATAAAAGCTCACCTGGATTGACCAGCTTGCTCTTGTACCGCAGGGCTGTGCTCATCTCGGAGACCCTCGCCCCCTCCCCAAAGAGGGTGTGGGGCTTCCTGGGCTTGCAATGCGAGCCGGGCCCCCCCACCCGCTTTTCCCGGCAAGCGAGCCTTGGCCCCGCCGCGCTTCGAGCTTTGCAAACGCGGCTCCGCTTACTCCGGCGGAGGCTGCTGCAGCGGAGAAGCGGAGCTCCAAGGAGAAAAAAAAAAAAGGGGGGGGGTTTATTAGAAAAAGGAGGAGCAAAAGTGGCCTGGCCCCGCCCAATCGCTCGCCGACAGCCAATCACAACCCAGCCTCGAGCCGGCCGATCTGTTTCACCCCCCGCCCTTTATCTTTTTCTCGGCTCCCGAAGGATAAAAACTGCGGAGGGGAGAGCGAGGCGCGCACCCTGGTCCTTCCCCCCCCCCCATCCTCGCGCTGCATCGAGGTCATCCCAGGCGCTAGTCCTCATGATTTGGCTGGGAAAATAAATAAATAAATAGAGAGCTTCCGGAACCAGGAAGGTAAAATAGCATCTTCTCATTCCCGCAGAGCTGGGGCGATGGTGTTAGCTGGGAATTTGTGGCAGGGTAGTCAATGGGGGATTCTGGGATTTCCGGGGGGGGGTTATGATTGGGGTATAGTCTCCTCTCTGTTCGCTTTGCTGCAGCCTCCCAACCTCTAAAAACAGAAAAAGGGGGTCTCACCTCAAATGTTAAAACATCGGCACGACCGTCCGCTTTGTTTCGTACGCCTAAAATTTCCTGCGAAATGTATTGTTCTAACACTGATGATGTTACCTAGTTGGGTCATGAAACACCTGCAAGAAAAAACCCCCAAGCTCAGAGAGCACTAAATGAATATACAAATATTCTCTTCTATTAAAGCTTCATCTCCCCTAAATGATTTATTCCACCCACCCTTTCAAAGTCACCTGAGTTCAAAGCAAGTAAAGCTTGGCCCTGGTTCTGCCTGTCGGCAACCGCTTTGTGGCAGGTGTGGGTGTATTATGCCAGGAAGGTGGCATAATACAAGGCAAGGCCCCAGTCTCCCACACCTTCAAGGACTCGTCTGCCTTTGCAGTCCACCCAAGCCCCTTTAAGAAATAAGCACAATGGACAATTACAACCCAGAATTTTGTTGGGATAAATGTCCATTAGTCATTAAAAAAAAACAAAAAGGGCACACCGGAGAGGGTAGAAGTAGACTGGACGGTGGTGATTTTAATTTGATTGGTCGGTTGCTATAAGGTTGTGTTATTCCACCTATTCTTCATTTAGCTGACAGCCCCAGATTAACACTTCTCATTATGATGATTGTCTAGACAGCATATCCTATCCTTGGGCATTTGTTTAAACAGCCTGATTGAGCTGAATGTTCGAGCATTAATACATTGGGTGTAAGGGAATTTACTGAATTGATTTGTAAGTAAGGAGGTCTTTTTATCTGGGTCCCATGTTTTAAGAAAGGCACCGAATAAAGACATGTACCATTATTGTTTTACAGCTTGCCTTCTCAAAAATGAATATGGGATGGTTTGCTCCGTCCATCACCGTAACATCCCAACAAGCCACGCGCATATCAATTTTCTAAGAGCATCCATGCACTCTTGATAGTCCAGATGGTGCCCAGCCGGTCATAAAAGATTCAAGTAGTCCTCCAATTAACGACCATAATTTTGGTGGCAAGTCATGACGTCTCCCCATCTGATTTTTATGACTTTTTCTGCATCAACTCTGGCAAGTCAAACTGAATAGTGTCCTGACAGGGCAGCACCGCCTTGCATAGGGATGGAAATTCTGATTGTGGGATGTTGCTTTATCACTGGAGGCTTTGGAGAAGAGATTGGACAATCACTTGTCTGGAACGGAGTAGCGTCTCTCCTACTTGAGCAGGGGGTTGGACTAGATGACCTCCAAGGTCCCTCCAACTCTGTTACACTGGTCCCAATTATGCTCTTAAGTTGAGGACTGCTTGGATCCCTGCCTACTGCAGCCCTGTTTGATTTCTTTTCCACAATTCAAAAGTTCTCAGGAAAGGACACTTCCGCCTACTTACCTTTCCCACCGTTGTTCAAAGCTCTGGAGATTTTATCCACAACTTCGCTCCCCCCCCCCAAAGACAGACAGGAAAACCCACAGAGTTTTCACAGGTGGATTCCATTTATTACAAAAACGGTCCAGAAAATTAGTGTCGTGATGCCTACAAAACCTTTTGAGGATTTATATCATTGTTCTCTCAACTGAAATTTGATAGAAAACACAGTGAGAATCTAATACCCCAAAAAAATCCATGAGCGATTTTTTTTTTTTTAAGAAAGAAATTTAGAAATTTCTTTAAGAAAAAAGACGGCGTGTCCTCCCCATGATTTTTAAGGCATGGTGGGTGAAACTCTCCAAATTTTTCACATCACTGGTGAGGTATAGTTTTTCTGTTCTGTACCGTATCTTATTTATTTATTTATTTATTTATTTATTTATTTAAGGGAGCACCAGAAAGGAAGAATTTGATCCTCTTGTGACTGACAAACATTTTTTTAAGAAGCGGAGAGAAGAATGCTATAAACTCACCGACGGCTGCAAATAAATGTATATACAACTTACAAAGTTCAGAAGAATTGGCCAAGTCTAACTGAAAATATAGTTCCGGCAGAGCTTATAGTACAGATTCAGAAATTTGCTTAATGAAGGAAGAAATTAAAAAAAAAAAAGGTAGAAACGTATCAAGAGCCACCTGGGCGGAAGAGAGAGAGAAAAAAAGGAATAATTCCTGCTTTTAAAAGCTTAGCAGATATGACATGCCATGTTAACTGGGGGGGTGGATTTTAAACAATGCAAGAGACACATCGAAGGATAAAAGGAGGGGGAAAAATAGGTTCCATATTGTGATGCTGCATTCATGCATAGCAAGACGTGAAAGAAGACAGAAGCAACGTTATACGTATCCGTGGACAGATATTTTTTTTTTCTCCAATAGGAATTTCAAGGTTTTTTAGCTGCACTGGGTCGTATCCTGATCCGGTATCCAAGCGTGAACCTCTCAAATCCATTAGTGTCATCGATGAAATTCAATTTGAATTCATGGCCCCTTTTTCTTAAGACCGTCGCATCCCCACTGTAAGGAAGAGTACAAAGCAAGAGTTTAGAAGAATGGCTGGTGTCCTTGACTTATAACCGTCGGTTTAGTGACCGGAGTGACAACGGCACTGGAAAAAAGCAACTTGTGACCTGATTTTCACACACGCATCCGTTGCAGCATTTCCCTACGGTCACGTGATCACAATTCGAATGCTTGGCAACTGGCATGTATTTAAGGCGGTTGCAGTGTCTTGGGGTGTGTGTGTGTGTGTGTGTGTGTGTGTGTGTGTGTGTGTGTGTGTGACATGATCCCCTTTTGGGACCTTCAGACCCGCAAAGTCAAGGCAGCTTCCCTTAATAACCGGGTTACTAATTTAAAACAAGGCAGCGATTCGTTTAACAACGGTGGTGAGAAAGGTCGTAAAATGGGGCAAAAATGCACTCAGTGGCAGACATTTTGGGCTCAATTGTGCTCGTAAGTCGAAGGCTTCCCTGTGGTGTTTAGCTCCTTTTTTTAAATTATTTTTTTGCTGTGCTGGAAATGAAGATAATAATAATAATAATAATAATAGTAGTAGTAGTAGTAGTAGTAATAAAGTTGGAAGGGACCTTGGAGGTCATCTAGTCCAACCCCCTGCTCAGGCAGGAAACCCTAGACCATTTCGGACAAATGGCTGCCCAGTCTCTTCTTAAAAACTTCCAGGGTTGGAGCATTTACTGCTTCTGGAGGCAGGCTGTTCCACTGGTCAATTGTTCTAACTGTTAGGAAGTTTCTCCTTAGTTCTAGGTTGCTTCTCTCCTTGATTAGTTTCTGTTGCAAAATCAATCCCCTTTTTGCCTAATAATAGTGCCTGTGCTTTTAAATGATGCGCTGCTCTAGCACATGGCAGGGATTTTAAGCTGGGATAGTTTTGGCTGCCTTGAGGGCTGCACCTACACAAAGCCGGTTCAACCGAGAGCAGGAAAGAGAGACAGCTATTGTGGTCTCTGTGAGGTTTTTTTTTTTTTGCCAATGCCCGTTCATAAAGGGTGTAATTTTGGAGTTTCCAGCCAGATCAGAAAAGCTAGAAGTGGCTGAGCGAAGGCAAGGGGAGGAATGCTTGAATGGCGACAGGAAGTCCAAAGACGTAAATAACGGGAGTCGTGGGATACCCTGTGAACTGACAAAACCATTGTGGCTTATGCTCTCACAGTTCACGGTCAGGTTTACACACAGCAGACCTATTAAGAATTTGGCAGTCTCGTGTAGACTGGTTCCACAAGATCTATTGGTCCTGCGTGCAGAGCGGGAATGTGGCTATCGCCGAGAAAAGGGTGATGCAGTGAAGAAGAAGAAAAAAATTCTAGAAAAAAATAATCTTGGGTCCAATGGAGAGGAGAGGAAATAGGGAAAGGAAAGGAAAACAGAAAGGAAAGGAAATAGAGAGGAAAGGAAGGGAAGTGAAATAGAGAAAAGAAAGGAAAAGAAGAATGGGGAGGCGAAAAGGAAATAGAAAAAGGGAAGGAAAAGAGAATAGGAAAAGAGGAGAAAAGGGAAGGAATCTCAGCTCAGCTCATACAGAGAAAGGAACAAGCCCATACGATTCACCAGGAGACAGGATCTACTCAAACAATGGGGCAGTTCACTAAACCTCCATTAACCATAACTACTGGAAACGTCAACATGATGGTTACTCTAAACTCCTGGCTAAGTTTCACATTCCAACCTGAAAGACCTGGTGTGTGTGTGTGTGTGTTCTGCAACCTTTTCCCTAGATCAGTGATGGCAAGTGCCCAAACTGCAATCCAAAACCCAGGGTGCAGCTACAGTGGGCTTGGCAGACTGGGTGGGCGTGGCAACTGGATGGGTGTGGCTGCAGTAGTCATGGCAGATTGGGTGGGCATGGCCGGGGTGGGCGTGGCCACCTTGATGTTGCTTATGGGGAGGGACAGCTGTGGGAGCCGGGCAGGGTTGGGGGAGATCCAGGGGGGTCTCTGGTGGGTGGGATGGCGGACTCCCCAATGGCGGCTCCAGGCTGGCTGGCCTTAAGCCAGTGATGGCGAACTTTTAGAGACCACGTGTGCTGGGGCAATGGCACATGCCCACAGAGAGGGCTCCGCGTTCGCCACCACTGCCCTAGATGATCTCCGTCATCACCTCCCTTTGACATCGGACCATGACTCAAGTCTGGTTGCTATGGCAGTGCCAGACCTATTTGTCTTCTGAAACCCCACATATTGGTTATCGCAAGGAGCTGGGGGTTATTTTTCAACCTTTTGCAAAATCTCTGCTTGGCAGAAACCAGGTGGGCGTTAGCAAAAGCAACTTGAGATAACATGTGAAAGTTCTTCAAGGAAGCTCCCCCCCATCTCCTTTTTTCCTGGTTTTAAATGCTCTCCCCCGTGATTAATCCTAAGCGAAATAAATGAGTTATTAGCATCTGGTGGGATTTCAGTGATTGCTTCTGCTCAGAGCCACTCCAGATGTTATCTGCAACAAACCGAAGATGAAGGAAATTTAAAAGCGTCTCCTTTACATTCTCTTTTCCTTTTTTGCAGTTTCCACGCGCACACACACACACACCCAGGGGGAGGGGAAAAAAAATCAGGATTTATGGGATGCGTTCCTCTTTCCAGAAAAGAAAAACAAAAAATGACATCCCATCATTTTAGGAGCTATTTCTGCATCACTGGCAGATTCAGAAGCTATGTGAGATAAACCTGGGTCAGGTTTTTGCAGTCTTAAGCAAAAGGGTGGGGGAAGAACATGACCGAAATCTGCTCTCAAAGACAAATGAGGCATAAAGATGCTTGGCAGCCCAGGGCAGCCTCATTAATATACCTCCCTCCCATTTAATTCCTTCCAGAACTTCCAAGGCTATGTAATGGCATGTGGGAACTGACCTCGCAAAACTGAGCCAGGCAGACAAGAGACCTGTCAGATAAGAGACTGCCTAGCCCACAGCTACGTCATGGGTGGGGAAAGAGACTCGGAAGGGACCCTCCCTATTTTCTCGGGATGTAAAGGAGAGGGCTGGTAATGGTATGTGGGGAAAAGTTGGGGAGTTGAGATGCTGCTTAGGGAATGGTTAGATGATGGACAGCATAGCCTGGGCTGCATAATGGGTGGGGCAAGAGACTCTCCCTAGTTTCTCAAAATGTATAGGAGGGGGCTATAACGGTGTGTGGGAAGACCTTGGAAGGTGGGGCAGAAAAGGGCAGAAGAGAGGCTGCCAGCAGTCAGATAAGGGTCCGCTTACCCCACAGCTGGACAATGGGTAGGGCAAGAGACTCAGCAAGGGACCCTCCCTAGTTTCTCAAGGTATATAGGAGGGGGCTACAATGGTATGTGGGAAAGCCTTTGGGAGACTGGGCAAGGAGACGCCGCCAAGGGAACGGTCAGATAAGGGTCCGCTTACCCTACAGCTGGAGAATGGGTGGGGCAAGAGACTCAGCAAGGGACTCTCCCTAGTTTCTCAAGGTATATAGGAGGGGACTATAATGGTATGCGGGAAAGACTTTGGGAGACTGGGCAAAGAGATGCCGCCAAGGGAAAGGTCAGATAAGGGACTGCTTACCCCACAGCTGGACAATGGGTGGGGCAAGAGACTCAACAAGGGACTCTCCCCAGTTTCTTAAGCTGTAAAGGAGGGAGCTACAATGGTATGTGGGAAAGCCTTTGGGAGACTGGGCAAAGAGATGCCGCCAAGGGAACGGTCAGATAAGGATCCGCTTACCCCACAGCTGGACAATGGGTGGGGCAAGAGACTCAATAAGGGACCCTCCCTAGTTTCTCAGGCTGTAAAGAAGGCGGCCATAACAATATGTGGGAGGACCTTGGAAGATGGGGCAGAAAAAGAAAGAAGCGGGACTGCCTAAGGAGTAGTCAGAGAAGAGACGGCATAGCCCACAGCTGCATAATGGGAGGGGAAAGAGGGTCAGAAGGGACCCTCCCTAGTTTCTCAAGCAGTATAGGAGGGGGCTATAACGGTATGTGGGAAAGACTTTGGGAGACTGGGCAAAGAGATGCCTCCAAGAGAACGGTCAGATAAGGGACTGCTTACCCCACAGCTGGACAATGGGTGGGGCAAGAGGCTTAGAAGGGACCCTCCTTAGTTTCTCAAGATGCAGGGGAGGGGGAGAGAAATGTGCAGGTAGCCCTCAACTGACAACAGTTCATTTAGTGACCTTTCCAAGTTACAACAGCACTGGAAAAAAATATGACATGGCCTTTTTTCACACGGCCTTTGCAGCCTCCCCCAGGGTCACATGATCAAAACCCAGAGGCTTGGCAACTGACTCGTATTTATGACAGATGCAGGGTCCCCGGGGGTCACGTGATCCCCTTTGGCGACCTTCTAACAAGCAAAGTCAATGGGGGGTTCACTTTACGACCGTTGTTACTAACTAATCGATTGCAGTGTGTTCCGCTTAATGACGGTGGCAAGAAAGGTCTTAAAATGGGGCCAAACTCAACTGAACCACCGCCTCGCTTAGCAAGAGAAATTTTGGGCCCAGTTGCGGTCGTACGTTGAGGACCCCCTGCCTATTCAAACTTGCAAGATTCGGCCATGTAGCTTTGCAATAAAATAAGACGTCGTTCTGGAATCGAAAGCAGGAATCGATGTGGTAAATTCAGTTGCCGATTGAAACCTGTTTTTTAAAAAAAACAACAAACTCCATTCCTAATATTTCAGCTTTTGTAGCCAACAAAATTGGGCTATTCCCTCGTTCTCCCAGCAGCAAACAAATACTCCTCTTGGCTGCAACCAGACGGGAAAGTTTGGCCGCCCCCTTAGACTTTGACTCAAGCCAAGTTTAGTTATGACCCTTCCTTTCCCAGGAAAAGTTTCCATTCCGATCGCTCCAGTTTTGAAGTTTGAAAGAAGCAACTCTACAACTTAATTTTTCTTCCTTATTTTTTTTGCAGGAGCAGCCAAGCCGGGAAAAATAAAAAAAACCAGACCACGTGCACCGGGATACCTCATTTCCAAAAAATGTGGATCCCACAGAATTTTGGCGCGTTGATGTGTCTAGACTGGGAAGTCAATTTCTAAAAGTTTGCTTTGGAAAAGAGGTTTCTTTCTGTTAGAAAACAGGCCACTTCAAGAAGCAAAGGAAGGTTCAATGGCTTCTTCAGAATACTTCCGCCCATCATCGGTTTGAAATAGACTGCCAGCCAATCGCCAGCAGCTTCCTGGGTGGAGCTATAAGTGGGAGGAGCTTGCGTTCCCAAATTTTAATTTTCTATTCTCCCAGGGCGTGGGGAGGGGAAAAAAAAAACTTGTGTCCATGTTGGTTGAAGCCAACAGTCTCCCAGTCGAAAGACGAAAGTCTTCTCCATCCTGGCTTGTTGATGTAAATTCACCTATCATTTTTGGACATAAATAATGGCTATTTCAGGATATATTTAGTTTGGTTTCTCCTTGGAAACCACTTCTAGACTTTGTGCTCAAGGGAGAAAAAAAAATGAAATCTTGACTCTGGCATTTGCTGATTAGATGAATTTGTGGTTATAGAAAAGCTAGGATTTACCAAGTATGTAAAACTTTTTAGAGGCTGTAATTTTATTTTTTTATTCTACTGTGCTGAAAAAATGTAGAAGTCAATGCTCTTTTTTTTCCTTCTCTTTATCCTATACTTCTACTCCCTTCTTTCTTTCTTTCTTTCTTTCTTTCTTTCTTTCTTTCTTTCTTTCTTTCTTCTTTCTTTCTTTTTCTTCCTCTTTTTCTCTTTCTCTTTTTTCTTTCTCTCTTTTTCTTTCTCTTTCCTCTTTCCTTCCTTTCTTTCTTTCTTTCTTTCTTTCTTTCTTTCTCTCTCTTTCTCTCTCTTCTTTCTCCTTTCCCTTTCTCCTTTCTCCGCTATCTTTATTTTTATTTGTGATTTATATTTTGATTGTAATGAAAAAAAAAAGACATGACAATGGATGTTTCTTACTTCTGGTCAGCATGTTGGGTCCATCCACAACTGTGGTGTGTATAATATATGGCTTGGCACTGAAGCTAAGTCAGCAAACTATGTTAAAATGCAACATGGTTAAGAGAAATGTATAAACCCAGTTACTAGTTCCAGGGAATCCTGTTCGTCAGCTCCTGAATTATTTTGCAAATTACAGGATCATTAAAAAAAATGGGACTAATCCTTTGAATGAACTAGAATCGTTGGAAGAAGATCTAAGCTTTCTACTTCAACAATTACAGTACTTTTTGAAGTGGTGGGAAATGCTTTTACATCAATGTTACATTGTCCCAACCACAGAAATATTTTGGGTCCGTATTTACTTCAAACAAGGAAAGCAAAACGCAAGGAAGGAAAAATAAATAAACTTCCTTCAATGTGGAAACTGTTACAAAGCCCTATGGTGGAACACAAGCCACATGGCTTGAGGTTTTACATTTTAACAGGTCAGCAAAGCACAGCCGGTGCTCAAAACAGACCATTTAAAGAGCATCTAACATCTTACAAGTCTATATTTTTCATTTCCACCTTTTCAAGAAAAAAACACAAGAAATTTCCTTTCCTGGAAACAGAACCAATCTTCAGGCTGGATTCCTTCTTACCAGCAGCACATCGAAGGAGATCTACAGAATTTCACTGAATATGGAAGTTGGGAGTTTTGGCTTTGCTTGTGTGTGTGGACCGATTGCTGGCATGCTGCAGACCGGTACTGGTCCACAGCCCGGGGACTGGGGACCCCTGCAGCAGGGTATTGTTAGGCCACCCTCAGCCTCCCTTGCTGACTGCTGTTGCTCTCAATACTTTGAGGGATGGGAAGCTGATCTCTCTTTCATCTCTGCATCAACTCCAAAAAAAAAAAAGAAGCTTTGTGCATTTGGGAAGCTGGGGAATGTAAAAGCCATACTTACCATCAGAAGATTTAGGAGACCTCCTCCTTACTCGTCCGCAGGTTTGATCCTCATCTGGGCTTGCATGTGGGCGATCATCTCCTGCATACGACGCAACTGGATGGGGAGGGGGGGAGAGAAAAAGAGGGGAAATGCAGTGAGCCCAGTTAAACCCACCCCCTTGAATTTTAGCTACCGTAGCGAGGAGGCCTCTTGAGACGGCCTGCCTAACGGCACAGCCAGGAACCTTATTTTTATGGCAAAAGACCCGTTGCAAGCAGGGACCACCTAATCAATAAGCAGCAACAGCACTTAAGACTTATATATCGCTTCATAGTGCCTCACAGCAGTGGTCCCCAACTTTTCCATCTTGGAGGCCTGGATGGGCATGCCTGGGGGGGGGCGTGAGTGGCAGGCACACATGCACGAGCACACAGCTCCATTGGTGTGAGCGGCAGGCACGTGCACTTGCCATCAGTCATACGGGCCACTTTCAAATAAACCACAGCCTGGTAACGGGCCACAGTTCAGGGATTGGGGACCTCTGCCTTACAGCGCTCTCTGGGCGGTTTACAGAGTCGGCCTCTTGCCCCCCAACAATCTGGGTCCTCATTTTTCCGACCTCGGAAGGATGGCAAGGCTGAGTCAACCTTGAGCCCGTCAGGATTGAACTGCTGGCAGTCGGCAGAGTTAGCCTGCAATACTGCATTCTAACCACTGTGCATTATGGAAGGATGGATGGGAGGGAGGGAGGGAGGGAGGGAGGGAGGGAGGGAGGGAGGGAGGAAAGGAAGGAAGGAAGGAAGGAAGGAAGGAAGGAAGGAAGGAAGGAAGGAAGGAAGGAAGGAAGGAAGGAAGGAAGGAAGGTAGAGCACTAGCACTTAGACTTCTATACCGCTTCAGTGCTTTACAACCCTTTCTAAGCGGTTTACAGAGTCGGCCTCTTGCCCCCCAACAATCTGGGTCCTCATTTTTCCGACCTCGGAAGGATGGCAAGGCTGAGTCAACCTTGAGCCAGTCAGGATTGAACTGCTGGCAGTGAACTAGCCTGCAATACTACATTCTAACCAGTGCGAAGGAAGGAAGGAAGGAAGGAAGGAAGGAAGGAAGGAAGGAAGGAAGGAAGGAAGGAAGGAAGGAAGGAAGGAAGGAAGGAAGTAAAAAAGGTAAAGCACTAGCACGTAGACTTATATACCGCTTCACAGCGCTTTACAGCCCTCTCTAAGCGGTTTACAGAGTCAGCTTGTTGCCCCCAACAATCCGGATCCTCATTTTAGCGACTGTGGAAGGATGGAAGGTTGAGTCAACCTTGAGCCACAATGACACAGTGGTTAGAATGCAGTCTTAATTATTTAACTGAATTAATCTTAAATGAATTCTTTGTCGGTACATTTAAATTTCACACGCACATCCCAAGAATTTCCATTCAGAACACCACCAAATAACGGGGAAGCCATTCCCACGATGCTGTGACAGGCTATTTGGTATTCCAGGTATGTTTTAACTAGCCACTAATCTGGGGCGTGTGGCCAAAACACACAAGCCATTACAAACGGCTTGCAATTATTACTGCCTTCCCTTCTCCCGTGGGAATCATTTTCTCCCGTGGGACTGCTTTGGGTATTGCAGAAGCTACATTCTTCAAGTATGACCCATTGCTAGCTCCATGCTATTTATGGAGAGCAACTTTTCTTTTTTCCATCCATTCTGGCCTTTACGGTAAACCGAACAAGGAAAGACTAGAAGAATTTTTTAATAAAAATAACTGCGGCAGGAGGGGGGGGGGGAAGGATGAAGAATTTCACCCAGAGCATGTCTGTATTACTATGAAAACATTAAAAAAGAAAAAAAATCTAACTCGTTGCTTCATAAATGTGAATTTATCCAAGGATGAATAGTAATTTCATTGCAGATTAAACAGCTCAATCCTTGTTCCTACTTCGCCTCCTGCTTTATTCATGATTGTCCACTGTCTTCTCCAAATTCCTGCATTATCTACATATTTAAGAGGCCCAGCGATTTAGCAGCAAGCCAATTTGTACAACACCCTGCCCTCTTGTGGCTTTATAACTCTTGCATAATTCGGGGTTTTTTTTTTTTAATCAAACAAAATGCAATGAAAGCCAAATGATAAGAGGTAACACCATAAATTGGATATAAAAAAATATCATATAGCTTTTTCATAATTTTTATTTTTATATATATACATATATATGTTAATGTTATATTTTTTTTTCTCTTTCTTTCTTTCTTTCTTTCTTTCTTTCTTTCTTTCTTTCTTTCTTTCTATAAATATAATTTTTTAACTGTTTTTTAATTAAGCCTATATCCTGCTCTGGGAAGCTCAGGGGGGGGGAAGGGGGGGTGTTTGGGTGGGGGTGGGGGGAGGGGGGTTTTGTTGTGTAATGTTTAGTTTTTTTTCTCTTTGTATATGTGGTTTTTTGTTATTGTATTGTTTTGCTCTTTTTGTAAAATTTATAAAACTTTTTAATAAAAAAAAAAAAAAGAGGTAACACCATAAGGAACAAAATACAGGTAACCCTCGATTTACAACAGTTCGTTTAGTGACCGTGCAAAGTTACAATGGCACTGAAAAAAGGGAACTTATGACCAACAAAAGTGCGTAGAGTCAAGGCCATGGTTCTCCCAGTTGCAGTGTATGGCAAATTAAAAGACACTTGCTCCTGGGGAGGAAAGCTATGGCAAATCTAGACAGCATACTAAAAAGACGTCACCCTGCCAACAAAAGTGAGTATAGTCAAGGCCATGGCTTTCCCAGTTGCAATGTATGGCTGGGAAAGTTGGACCATAAGAAAGGCTGAGTGCCAAAGAACGGAGGCCTTTGAACTCTGGTGCTGGGGAAGACTCCTGCGAGTCCCCTGGACTGCAAGGCGTTCAAACCGGTCAGTCCTAGAGGAGATCAACCCTGACTGCTCTTTAGAAGGCCAGATCCTGAAGTTGAAACTCAAGTACTTTGGCCACCGAAGGAGAAGGAAGGACTCCCTGGAGAAGAGCCTAATGCTGGGAAAGATGGAGGGCAAGAGAAGAAGGGGACGACAGAGAAGGAGGTGGCTGGATGGAGTCCCTGAAGCAGGAGGTGTGAGCTTAAATGGACTCCAGAAGATGGTAGAGGACAGGAAGGCCCGGAGGAACGTCATCCATGGGCTCGCGATGGGTCAGACACGACTTCGCAACAAACAACAACAAATGACTGTTTTTTTCCACACTTAAGACCACTGCAGCCTCCCCCGTGGTCACGTGATCAGAATCCAGACGCTCGGCAACTGGCTCATGTTTATGACGGTGAACCCCTTTTGTGACCTGCTGACAAGCAACGTCAATGGGGAAGCCAGATTCACTTAACAACCGTGTTGCTCATTTAACAACCACAGGGTTGCAGCCAATATCGGCACAAGCCAGTGCTCGGTGCTAAAGTGCAAATGACTTTTTTCAACAGTCGCCCTTGTGTTTCTTTTTTAGAGCACCAGTTCATTTTCCCGTCTGAATAGTCGAACAGAGAAAGCTAAACGATGCTGAGTTAAAGGGGGAGAAAGCATCTCTTTTACATTTCAGAGATCAGGTAAAAACTGGTGGGCTTTTGAGAGACTTGCATCATGCTTTTTGCTTCTGAAGAACCAGTTCCTGTTTCAAGGCTTGTTATTTTTTGTTTTTAAAAAAAGGGAGCCAGGTTTATATTTGGAAGAAGAGATAGATATTTAAAGGCAGTACGCACGAAACAAAATCCAGCAGAAACAAAACAAAACGAAGGCCCGTAAGAAACACGCCTGTTGGGCAGCTGAAACAAAGCATGGAAAAGATTTGTGGTTCTCAAAAGTCAAGGATTTTTATCGCCTGATAAAATCCAGAATGACTGTTGAGCAAAAGTTGATCTCTTGATCACAGAGAGAGAGAGAGAAACACACACTCGGAGGTTATATAAACTTTCCAGATTTGTAAACAGAGTCCCAAACACTATTATTGCTCGGAATATATATAAAAAAGCAAACAAACTAAAAGGGAAATTGATGTTTATGCTCCCAACGAAGTCCAAGGAATGCAGAACCCATTTCCTGTGTCTTTTTAGTCCTGCTTTTCCATCTTCCTCAAACCTTACAATACTGCTTTTAGAGAACAGGCAGTTTCTTAGCTAAGAGGAAGTGTAAACTGGCTTGCAAGATGGGTACGGCACTAAACATACCGAAGGACATTTTTGAAGAATGGAATCAGAAAAAGAGTTAGCCACAATATCAACAACGTCAGTAGTGATGTCTGCTTCTATGGATAGATTATGTCCCAAAGATGTTATTGAAGGACGTAGAACAAATTTTATTTGACAAGGTAAGAAAGGGTATTAAAAACGGATTTACGTCGGACAGGCCAAGAGAACAGCTTAGAAAAAGGGTGTTTCACTGGATCTGCAACAAACACTAGCTCAGATTCTCAAATGTTAAAAGGGAAAAATACACGTGAGAAACCAAGAAAGCGATCTGGATACTTTTTTTTTTCCTACTGGATTTACCAAAGAGTAAAGCTAAAAGCCTTGAAGAACCCTGCAATTCTTCAATAAAAATTCCCAATAAATAAATGGAGATACAGTATAGAACAAATTCAATCACTAGGCCAGGGGTAGGCAATCTTGGCTCTTTTATGACTCATGGACTTCAACTCCCAGAATTCCTGAGCCAGCCATGCTGAGGGGAAAGGAGAGGTTTCCAAGCTGAGCCAGATTGGCTCAGGAATTCTGGGAATTGAAGTCCACAAGTCATGAAGGGGTCATAGTTCCCCCATGCTGGCTCAGGAATTCTGGGAGTTGAAGTCCACGAGTCATGAGGGGGCCATAGTTCCCCCATGCTGGCTCAGGAATTCTGGGAGTTGAAGTCCACGAGTCATAAAAGAGCCAAGGTTGCCTATCCCTGCACTAGGCCATCCTCTGCCCCTTTACTGATTTTTTTTTTGGGGGGTTGGCTCTTTAACCAGGGTTAAATGTGCATCCTTTAAAAGACTTATCATTGTTGATTAACGCTAACTAAATTCGAACACAACGGATACCCCCCGGTTTGGATTTTCGGTTCTTACTTACCTCAGCCTCCTTCTGCTGAAGGATCCTGTCTTTGTCCATAACTTCTTCTTCTGCAGGCCTGTGGACCACAGAAACAAAAAGATAAAGAACAGGTATTATTTCAGTCGGACCAAGTTGGAGACTAGCTGAATTGTAGGCTTTTCCTCTGAAATAAACTGGCAGGAAAAGCCAAATTCAGACAAAGAGAACTCCTGATTTTCGATCATTGATTTTATCTGCATGCCATCTTTGATTATTATTTTTGTTTTTACAAATAACGCAAGGCAGCAAACACATCCAACATGGCTTCCTCCCCCTTATTTCCGCCACATCAACAACAAGGTGGGTTGGCCTGAGAGAGAAAGACTGGCTCAAAGTCACTCAGCCTAAGACGGGACTAGAACTCACAAGTCTCCTGCTGACTGGCCCAAAGTCCCCCAGACAGCTTTTATGGCCAAGGTGAGAGTAGAACTCACAGTCTCCTGGTGATTGGCCCGAAGTCACCCATCTGACTCTTATGCCTAATATGGGACTACAATTCACCATCTCCTGGTGATTGCTCCAAAGTCACCCAAGCAGTTTTCATGCCTAATGCAGAACTAGAACTCACTGTCTCCTGGTGACTGGTTACAAAGTCCCCCAGTTTTTAAAGGGGTCAGGAGATTCGTTGGTGCTTGGGCTGTCAAAAACTGAAGCACCTACGCTTCTGAAAATAGCCTGCTCTGTGACAGCTTTCTGAATGTATAAGTCGTGGTGTCTGTTCTCACACACAGGACAAACCTCCTATTAAATGGCATTTCACATCCCTCCTAGCTGGAATCTCTACCTTTGGGGAGCATCTGGAATCACCATCCTTATTTTTCACTGAATCTATATAGTTAAAGGTTTTAAAAAGGTAAAAGTTTCCCCTGTCCAGTCATTTCTGCCTGTAGGGGGCAGTGTTCATTTGTTTCTTGGCCGAGGGAGCCAGCGTTGTCGGAAGACCCTTCCCTTCAGGTGACAGGCATGATTGTACATTGAGGCATAGAGTAGAGTAGAGTAGAGTAGAGTAGAGTAGAGTAGAGTAGAGTAGAGTGTAGAGTAGAGTAGAATAGAATAGAGTGTAGTGTAGTGTAGAGTGTAGTGTAGAGTACTGTAGAGTAGAGTGTAGAGTGTAGTGTAGAGTAGTGAATAGAGTGTAGAGTGTAGTGTAGTGTAGAGTAGAATAGAGTGTAGAGTGTAGTGTAGAGTAGTGTAGAGTGTAGTGTAGTGTAGAGTGTAGTGTACTGTAGAGTGTAGAGTAGATGTAGTGTAGAGTAGTGTAGAGTAGAGTAGAGTGTAGTGTAGAGTAGAGTAGAGTAGAATAGAGTGTAGAATGTAGTGTAGTGTAGTGTAGAGTAGTGTAGTGTAGAGTAGAGTAGAGTAAAAGCTGGAAAGGACTTTGGAGGTCTTCTAGTCCAGCCCCCTGCTCAAGCAGGAGAACCTATAGGCCACTGTGCCACTTGAATCTATAGCTAGTTTCTGCTCATTAACCCTCCAGAGGGGTCATTTAAAAGGAAATTGGTGCCCTTTTTTTGCAGTTTGCTTAACAACAAAGAGGAGTGGTAACATTAGGAAACTTTATAAGGGAGACTTGAAGCTGCAGCCAACGTAGGAAAGCAACGAGACGCCAAAAAACTTACTTGCCAGTCCTCTTTAGTCTCTCCGACCGGAAGTTTTCGTAGTGCAAATCCTGAGTTACCTCTTGGAGATCTTGCATGTGTGTCCTGAAAGAAGAAACACAATTAGGGGCTAATCAGAAGGGACATTAAATCAATGGCATGTCTTCCATTTGGCTTGCTTAAAAAGCCTCGGCAGCCGGGACGACTTTTAGCAAGAAACAGGACAAAATCTTCAAGTGTAGCGTAAAAATTGTCCAGTAGAGGGAACGCTTGGAGTGGAAGTTATTCTTTCCAAAGATGAAAAATGGAATTATGGGTAAAACAGCCAGGAATTGATCACTCTGTCTGTCTCTCGGTGTCTACCTGTCTGTCTCCCTATCCATATCTATCCATATCTATCAGTCTATCCATTTCTTCTACTTTTCTTTCTTTTTCTTTATAGCCAGTCTATCTGTTGGTCTATCTATCTATCTATCTATCTATCTATCTATCTATCTATCTATCTATCTGTATATCTATGTGTCCATCCATCCATCCATCCATATCTATCGGTCTGTCTGTCTGTTGGTCAGTCTATCTGTATGTCTATGTGTCCATCCATCCATCTATCTATCTGCCAGTCAGTCTATCTGTCGGTCTATCTATTATCTGTCTATCGGTATGTCCATCCATCCGTCCGTCTGTCCATCCATCCATCTCTGTCTGTCTGTCTGTTTATCCATCCATCCATATCTATATCTATATCTATCTGTCGGTCAGTCGGTCAGTCTATCTGTTGGTCTATCTATCCATCTGTCTATCGGTATGTCCATCTCTCTCTCTCTCTCATATCTCAGTGATATCCCTAGATTTTGCCAATTCACAAGGCTTGCCTGCAAACAGAGGCCAAATAAGGCACACTACTTACACCAGCATCGTGCGTAACTTGAGGAAATCGTTGTGTTCAGGGTTTTCCACTTCCACCACCCCCCAGGGGTAGAGGCGGCCTCGGATCTTTTTTCCTTTCACTTCAATTAGCTGGTTGGACCCGATCACAGCGAAAGGAACACTGGCCTGGAGGAGTCAAGAGGAGGAAGAATTCCATGTCATCTGCCATATCGGAAAGCGGAGAGACCGTCGATTATCGTATGGATATATTATTCTCGTAGTGTTCCTTGGTCTTCGCTTATTTTATTGTTCTGTTATTTTACTTCTGTTCTGTTTACATTCCTTTCATTTTCTTCCTTTGTATTACAGGTAGTCCTCAACTTAACAAACCCCGGGTTTATTACAACCAGTGGCTAACCCTAGACTACCATGAGAAGAAATAGCCAAAGTTCACTTTGTTTTGGGAACCGTCTGCTTCAACTCCACACCTGTTCTGGTGTCCTTGAAAAGGTTTCAGGCTCTCATGGTCTCCCGTGGAATCACAGAAGTTTCGTTTCCCCATCTAACCCACTTGGAAGTAAATACACACCTTACTCTAAAGGCAAGTTGAAATGCAAAGGCTTGTAGCTGCCCAGGTTTCAACCTTGACACCCATGATTTGACCCCAGAAATAGCAAAACAGCTTCCCCTTCAGAAATGCCATCATTTTGGCTTAAAAGCATTCAGGAAGGCACATTCTTGAGGTGATGATTGTAGAAAGAATCCAAGGGCACAATACTGAACTACTCATTCATTTAGCGACCTTTTGAAGTTACTACGGCACTGGAGGGGGAGGGGGGACTTACAACTGGTCCTCATCACTTTGGGGCAGCGTTCCAAATTTGAACGGCCGTTAAACGAACGGTCGTTAGGTCGAAGACTCTCTGTAATGACATGGTGGCATCAGCTTACCTTCAGGACCCTTGTCTGTTCTTTGAACTCTTCATCCTCATCGGAATCAGCGTCGGGCAGTTGGTAAATTCGGATGCCGTGCTCAGATATTTCATCCAACACCTACCAATGCCAGAAAGAAAGAAAGAACGAAAGAAAGAAAGAAAGAAAGAAAGAAAGAAAGAAAGAAAGAGAAGGAAGGAAGGAAGGGAAGGGAAGAAGGAAGGAAGGAAAAAAGAAAAAGGAAGAAAGAAAGAAAGAAGGAAGGAAGGAAGGAAGGAAGGAAGGAAGGAAGGAAGGAAGAAAGAAAGAAAGAAAGAAAGAAAGAAAGAAAGAAAGAAAGAAAGAAAGAAAGAAAGAAAGAAAGCATCATTTTTGATTCTAGACAAAGCCCTTAATTGTATTTGCACAAAGGCGGCTTGGATCCTGCCCTATTTGACTGATTTGATTTGCAGGGTGTGACCTGTGTTTATTTTTTTCTGGAGTTTTCCTCAGAAATGAAGCGGAGCGGAGAGCCTGTTTGTCAGAAAAAGAAATCATTTTTCATCTTTTCGGAAAAGATGACAACTTACTAAAATTGTTTAGTTGTTCTGATGAAAGCGAAAGTCATTTCTTTATTATATGTTTCTTTTTCTTTAATATGTATTTTTTCTTTCTTTTATTTTCTGTGCTTTCTCCTTTTTATTCTTGCATTTTGTAATGCTGGGCTCCATGGCGCTTTTAAGCAGGTTAATGTTGATGCCGTTATTTAGATTTATTATAATTGCCCACTCCAAAGGATTTTGGAAGGCCTTACGAGATCAAAATACACAATCAGAACAGTTAAACACCCTACCCGAGGCATTAAAAAAAATTGTTGTATGGTTTTGGTTGATCAATGCTTTCTAAGCTTATTATCTTATTAAGCAGGGACTCCGTGCACCCTTCCTGGTTTACTTAAACCGTGGTTCCCAGCCCAGTTTATTTAAAATACAATTTCTCGTTAAAGTCAAACCACAAGAACTTCTTAATTTCCCATCACTGTACGGTGCCCAGAATCGTTTGCCCGGTTTCGTAACAAGACGTGTCCCCTACTCCAAATGGGATCACTGTCTCCACTCAAGCTGTACCAATTCTCTTAGAGAAAAACGTAACACTTCACAAAATAATAATAATAATAAAACTCCCAAAGATCAACAGAACAGAACATCCAGACCTAATCCATCCAAGCACAAACGCACACGCATTTTGCACATCGGGCAGGCTATTTTCCAAAGGCGGGACTTAAAGAATTAGCAAAGTCACAGCAGCTTTAATTATAGGTTGCAAGAGAGAAAACCCCTCCCAGGAACAGCCCAGCATGAGGGGATTGGCCAACATTAGCTAGTTTGCTGTTTGTTAGTGATGGGGAATAAGAAAGCCCAGTTTCTGCAGGCAAAGATCTCGGTGATAAAACTGCAAAACCCGAAACAATGGCGGGAAAACCAGCAAAGGGTGCCTGAATAATATATCTCAGCTGTTCAGCCAAGTGCTTTCCTGAAAGGAAAAAAGAAAAAAAAAGAAAGAAAGGAAGAACTGCAAGGAAAACAAACTGCATTTCATACTCCCAACAATAAAACTGCATTTTGTTGCTTCAGACATCAGTTTATGGGCCTCTAGAGGCTCCGTGCATCTTAAAGATTAGGCTTCCCAGAGAAAAAAAAAAGAGAGAGGGAGAGAAAGAAGTCAAAATGTAAAGTTTCCTTTCCTGCAGAGTCATTCTTTTTTTATTTTTGAACTTCCTCGAAAAACCAGCACGGTGTGGCTTGTGAATCGGGCGCACATTGATTCCCACTTGAGAGGCTCAATTTTTTAATTTTTTTGGGGGGGGAAGGAAAAAGAAGATTCAATTCCACTAAGTCAAAACAGGAATTCCTTCAGGATGGGCTTCCTTAACTGAAAAACCCACCGTTCAGGTTTCTGCTTATTCAAATAATTTTTAAAAACCAGAAAGGGGAAAAAACACACACACACACACACACCTAATCCTTACTTTAGATTGATTGCCAAAGGGCAGAAACATCTTAAAAAAAAAAAAATCCAAACCTTGAAAGCTGTGCCAAGAAAGGCAAATTTTGATCCCCTGCTTTGATTAGAGATTTTGCACTAAAGAGATGTTTTCAGGAAGAAAAATATACAGTAGCTGAAATTTCAAAGCTTTGGATCAACATGAAACATTTGCCTTATAAAGCCAGTCTGTTTTTAAAAAAATTTTAAAACGCTGATTCAAATGGATCAAAACTCAAACAATGGGCTAGATGTTTATTTGCCCTTTTGCTGCTCTAGATGAAGGCCAGGGCTTTTGTTAAACTATCCGTGGACATTTAATGTAAAAATAAGCACCGAGGATTTACAAGCTGGTAACGCCAAGGCTAAAGAAGGCGAAACAACTAAGCACAGCCTGCTGCTCTGAAACGGCATAGGGTCTCCAGCTTGAGCAGGGGGGTTGGACTAGAAGACCTCTAAGGTCCCTTCCAGCTCTATTCTAATCGAAACTGTGGTTTTCTGGAGGCTAAGGTTGAATAAGGAGTTTTAAAACTCTTTGTTTCTTTAAATGTAAAGAAGACTTAATTTAATATTTCTCAACCTTAGCAGCTTGAAATTGGGCAGATTCAACTCCCAGAATTCCCCAACCAGCATGCTTGAAGATGGGTGGACTTCAAGTCCCAGAATTCTCCAGCCAGCATGCTTGAAGATGGGTGGACTTCAAGTCCCAGAATTCCCCAGCCAGCCTGCTTGAAGATGGGTAGACTTCAAGTCCCAGAATTCTCCAGCCAGCATGCTTAAAGATGGCTGGACTTCAATTCCCAGAATTCCCCAGAAAAGTTGACAAATTACCCTTCTCTTCAGTCGTTCCCTTTCCTTCAAAGTTAAAGTGTCTGCCTTCGCTATGACTGGAACTATATTCACTTTTCCATGAAGCGCCTTCATGAATTCCACATCCAAAGGTTTTAGTCTGGAAAATCCAAAGATGATTTTAATTGAATTGGCTAATACGAAAAGTGGAGATTAAGGCCCCCTGCAGAAAGTTATTCAGCAAGGCTTATATCCTGGGCCATTAAAAAAAAATTTAACACTTACCCATGTCCAAAAGGGGAAATGAAATAAAAGCAGCAATGGACTCGGTTGTCTACAATATGGCGTCTATTCAAGCCGCTCTCATCGTGAAGGTATCTTTCAAACTGATTGTCGATATAATGGATGATGGTTTTGAAACTGGGTCAAGAAGCGAAGAAACAATTTTTACAATGTTTGGCTAGAAAAGCTGTTGGGAGAACATGCAGACTTTAAACCTGAACTTTTTTTTTAATTAGGAATAATGCCAGAAAAGACTAATAGACACAGCTTTTATTTGGCTTTGCATGTCACAACAGCGGCAAGAATTATATTTCCACAATATTGGAAAAATGAAGGAATACCATCAGAGGAAGAAATAATCAAAAAAATACTAGCACGCGCAGAGATGGACAGATTGACTATGAGACTGAAAGAAAAAGAAGAAACAGAATATTATCAAACTTGGGACTTATTTTATCGATGGCTAGAGGAAAGAATAAAAGATTAAGAATTAAATATGCATTAGAGAATGTAAACTCAGACAGCACGTTGGTTGCTGTGTGTATGGAAAAAAATTAATAAAAACTTCTACAAAAAAACAACAACAATTTTTACAATAAGACAGGGATTTGGGGAAAAAAATATTTGTGCCTTTCTTAGCATCGCCTGGCGTAAGGCAATCCTCAAGTTGCAACCATAACCATGTCCACAATTACGGTCATAAGTTGTGGTGTCCACGAAGCATGACTGCACCCCATTTTACGACTGTGGCTGTTCAGCTTGCAGCCGTTAAGCGAAATGTTGTTCATTATGGGTGGGGTTTTTTTGCCAACAGCACTGAAAAAAGTGACTTTTCACACTTACGACCATTACAGCGTCCCCGTGGTCACATGATCAAAATTCAGTCATTTGGCAACTCATTCATGTTTAGGACGGTTGCAGTATCCTGGAGGACCCCAAGCCAAGTCAAATGGGGGAATCCAGATTCACTTAACAACCGTGTTACTTGACAAGCCAAGTCAAATAGGGGAATCCAAATTCACTTAACAACCGTGTTACTAACTTAACAACTGCAGTGATTCCCTTAACACCTGTGGCGAGAAAGGTCGTAAAATGGGGGCAAAATTCACTTAATTGTCTCACTTAACAACAGAAAGTTTGGGATCAATCGTGGTCCTAAATCCAGGACTCCCTATACACGCGTCCCAAGATAATGTTGCAGGATCCAATCAAGGTCAGTCACTGGGACCAGAGGTTTATTTTTCCAAGCTTTTGGACTCATTATATCAGAGGTCTCCAAGCTTTTGGCCACCAGGGACCGGTTCCGTGGAGAGAGTTTTTTCCATGGACCAGAGGGAGCATGGTTTTGTGTGCTGCCTGCATCCCAATGATGGGGCTTTGCTTGTTTGTGCGGACTGGTTGCTGGCATGCCGTGGCCCGGTCCTGGTTCATGGACCGGGGGTTGGGGACCCCCTGCCCTAGACCAGAGGTCCCCAACCTTTTGGACACCAGGGACTGGTTCCATGGAGAGTTTTTCCACGGACTGGAGAGTGCATGGTTTTATGTGCTGCCTGCATCCCACGGATGAGGCTTTGCTTGTTTGTGCGGACCAGTACCGGTCCACGGTCCAGGGGTTGGGGACCCCTGCACTACACATCCCAAGGAGAGAGAAGTTCTCTGAGAATGGGCCCCAGCATAGTCTGAAAGCTTGGAAGACCAAACCTTTGGTCCTGGGGACAGACTCGGATTGGATCCTACATCATCCTTAACTCCGTGAGAAGGTGATGAATCGAAAAGAAACACCGCCTTCATATTGGTTGGGGAAAGAAAGGAAAAGGAAGTCTCCAACTGACAGGGAATTGTTGTTATTTTTTTAAAAAAAATATTGTTTCTACAATCTTTTGAATTCTCTGCAGCAATTTCAACCCCGTGACGTAGCAACGGGCCTTGGAACGCCTTGTGCTCCCACCCATGCTTAGCGTCTCACTCCCAGGTCTAAAAAAAAAGAAAAGAAAAAAAAGGAAAAGTAGAACTCAGATCTGCAGAACTTCAAGAAATCTCTCCAAAGAATAAACACAAGCATCGGAATACAATCAACAGGAAATTCTTCTGACAACACCGTGGCCGAGGTCCAGCCATTCAGAGATTCTCAGGAAAGGGTCAGGCGAGATTTACTGGCAATGAGAAGGTGACGACGTAACGATGGGGATGGGCAGAGTGGAGTCTGACCCAAGGAAGCCCACATATTGGTCAGCTGTCTTTGAAAGGAGAGCAAAACCTACCAATTTTGGCTGTTGATGGCATCTCCGTAGCCTGGAGTGTCCACGACGGTCAGACGCAGCTTGACCCCTCGCTCTTCAATCTCGACAGTCGAAGCTTCGATCTGAACTGTCCTTTCGATCTTTTCTACCGGACAGAGATAGGAAATATTCAACCCCAAAGCCCAGCTGTCTTTTGAAAAAGCAGGTCAGACCCTCAAAGTCCAGCTGTCTTTTGGGAGACAACCATGACCTGGATGATTGAGAATCTCTATAGATGTTAAACCCCAGCTCTTTGTGAGAATTATGGGGTTTTTAAAAGGCCACAGACCTAGAAGTAGACAAGGTTGGGAAACCTGGTTAGAAAGGCCACCAAAAGGGACTTGGGACCTCATCAAGGTTCAGGATTGCCCATTTGGCTAAAAGTAGGGGGTCTTCAAACTTGGCCCTTTTATGACTTTATGACTTCAACTCCCAGAATTCTTCAGCCAGCGTACAAGTCATAAAAGGGCCAAGTTTGAACACCCCTGGCTTAAAAGGAAGGAAGGTGAAATTGGAATCTTATGAAATTTAGAATGGCGTTTCTCAATCTTGGCCACTTTAAGAAGTGAGGCCTACAACTCCCAGAATTCCCCAGCCATGTACTTCTGGGAGATGAAAGCCCAGACGTCTTTAAAATTGCCGAGACTGAGAAATGCCGATTTAGAAAAAAAAAAAAAAAACACAAATTACCTCCAGCTCCAGGGATGTAACGTTCAGGATACAAATCCGTCAGGAATAAACTGTTAATTAAAGTGGATTTTCCCAAACCCGATTCTCCTGTAAAAAAAAAAAAAAGAGGGATATTTAATCACTGGGATAATCTTCCCGCCGTTCCGTGTAAACCGCAGTTTTCTCAAACGGTCAATTTTCTTTTCTTGTTTGATAAGACAGTACCATCAAAAGCTCTTATTAAATTAGTCTTTTCAAAATAACCTAGAAAAGCAGGTCCGTGCCTAGCATCCCTCGTTTAAATTTTAAATCTAGGAAGTACAGGTGGTCCTCAATTTATGACCAAGAATGAGCCCAAAATCTCTGCTGCTAAGCGAGGCATTTGTGAAATGAGTTTTGCCCCATTTTACAATCTTGAATCACTGCAGTTGTTAAGTTAATGACACAGTTGTTAAGTTAATCTGGCTTCCCCACTGATTTTGTCAGAAGGTCGCAAGAGATGATAACGTGACCCCAAGACGCTGCAACCGTCATAAGTGTGAGTCAGTTGCCAAGGGTCTGAATTTTGATTATGTGATCATGGGGAGGGCTGCAAAGGTTGTAAGTGTGAAAAATGTTCGTCAGTCACTTTTTTCAGTGGTTGTAACTTCGAACAGCCACTAAATCGGGTGGGCAACCTTGGCTCTTTTATGACTCGTGGACTTCAACTCCCAGAATTCCTGAGCCAGCATGAGGGAATTATGGCCCTTCATGACTCGTGGACTTCAACTCCCAGAATTCCTGAGCCAGCATGAGGGAATTATGTCCCCTTCATGACTCGTGGACTTCAATTCCCAGAATTCCTGAGCCAGCATGGGACAACTTTGGCCCTCTCATGACTCATGGACTTCAATTCCCAGAATTCCTGAGCCAGCATGGGGGAACTATGGCCCCCTCATGACTCCTGGATTTCAATTCCAAGAATTCCTAAGCCAGTATGGCTCAGCTTGGAAACCTCTTCCTTTCTCCTCAGCATGGCTGGCTCAGGAATTATGGGAGTTGAAGTCCACGAGTCATAAAAGAGCCAAGGTTGCCTACCCCTGCACTAAATGAACTGTTGTAACTCGGAGACTACTTGTACTACAATGATTTCAGTCATGTAAGGCTGCTTCTCCTTGTTTGATAACATTTTGAGTGGCAGCCTAAGGTAGCTACTTCTGAGGAAGAGTGAGGTCAGAACCGTTACCACCCTCTTTTGAATCCTTCCTTCCTAAATCCTGTGCCAAAACATGACTTTGAACTCAATGGCTTCTTTATCACACTGCCGTTTCGATGCGTTGCTTTTGACCCGAAAGATTTGAGTCATTTCTCTAAAACAGGAAGGAATGAGCAAAAGCAATAACGTCCCTTTTTGGCATAGAAGCTGACATCTCCTTTGGATGTTCTTGTCCAATTGCCTCAGAGGCAACCATTTTTATATCAAGCCTCTGCACTATCTGGAAAGCAGAAGCTATTGAAAATAAAGCCTGCTGGAAAACAGCCCAAATGGAGAAGATCAGCACCATTTTCTCCTCTGACTTTCTCTTTCTTATCTAGAAATAAAGGAAAAAGCCAAATCTGCACGTACGGCGACCTGCTTTCATTTTATTCCCCTAACAATCGTCTTATGGGAGATAAATTTCATCCTGGATGCTAAAGATCATCTTAAAATCCCAAAGGGATTTAATCCACAGTCCAAGTTCATAACTGCTACACTGCACTGCTTCTCCGATAGTTGCTCTGCACTGTATTTTATTTAGTGACTTGATTCCAGGTTTTCGCAGAGCACTTTATCAAAACCTTTAGGTGGCTTAACATAGATAAAAGCAAGAAAGGAACGCCCTAGAAACCAAAATTATAAATAATATTTGGAAAGCATAAAATGGATCTTCTTCATCACACCCATTAAAACAAAGCATCATCAACAACAACAATAATAATAAAAGTTGGAAGGGACCTTGGAGATCATCTAGTCCAACCCCCTGCTCAGGCAGGAAACCCTATACCATTTCCGACAAATGGCTGTCCAGTCTCTTCTTAAAAACTTCCAGTGTTGGAGTATTCACCGCTTCTGGAGGCAGGTTGTTCCACTGGTTAATTGTTCTAACTGTCAGGAAGTTTCTCCTGAGTTCTAGGTTGCTACCCTCCTTGATTAGTTTCCATCCAATATGGAAAATCAAATCCACATACCGACAACCATGAGGGTGAATTCAAACCCTTTCTTAACCGACTTCCGGTGAACTTGGTTGGGAAGATTGGCAAAACCCACGTATCCAGCCGAGTCGGAAAACTGGAATGAGAAACCCATTAATGAAAGCAGCGAATTGGAGGCGGAATTTATGAAAACACACCAAAGTTGGAAAGTTGCAAGCTGGAGACCAGGATCTTAAAAGTGAAACATGTAAGGAACATAAGGAGAACAGAAAAATAAATAAATAAACCAACCCATCAGACGAGTGTTCCTCAGCCTTGGTGACTTTTAAGATGTGTGGATTTCAATATAGGTGGCTGGGGGGGGGGGATTCTGGGAATTGAAGTCCACCAATCTTACAGTCGTCAAGGTTGAGAAATGTTGCTGTAGACCGAGTTGTATTTCCTTTCTCTGGCTTGTATGCAAGTGGAAGAGGGCGACGAACGTGGTTTAAGAGAAAATCTCTGCAAGAATTACACAGAGTCTCTATAGACTCTCACTGCGAGAAAATATGGGGTTAGTTTTACTTCCTCTCTTTACCACTTCTTGAGAATCTGAAGCAGCAAAGGAATGTTTGGAAAAGCATTTTGTTTCGCCCTGTAGGTCTCAGCTTTCTACTTAACCCAAAACCAGCTTAAATATCAAACTGGGTTGGCTGCATAACAACCATCATTCACAGCATACGGCTGTTGTACTCATTCATTCGCAGATAATAATGAAGAAAACCAAGAAAATCTTTTGTTAACTAGCCTTTGCTTGAAAATCCATGCTGAAAAGTTATGTTTAAAACAATGGGCTGTGGGAGGGGGGAAACCAGGATATTCAGTCAATTTTATACTAAAGATTCCTGTCTCATTTTGATCTGCTGTTGTTATCCACTGTTTTCTGCAATGGATTCGGCAATTTACAGAGAATTTTCTATTCTTTTTCCTCCAGTCTGTCGAACAGAAAGTTGAACGAATAAAGCTGGATTATTTCAAGTTATGAAAGTGGGTTATTTATTTAAACAACAATAATTCTCTAAAATTCCTTCCAGCTGTTCTTTTCTCCACTATCCCGCCCCAAAGTGATGGCAAAACACAGCCTTTAAACCCTAAAAGCCAAAATAAAACATTGAAAGCTAAGAATTGTTTTGATGGGCTAATGTCCCAAATTGTTTTTGATGGGCTAATGTCACCTTTACTTTTTCTCCAGACTGAGACATGTTCCTGCACTCCAAATTTCTAAAACCTGGGGGGAAAAAAATACAAAACATTTATGCACTAAATCTGAAATCTATTAATCAGTTTTTCCATTTATGATGCTGGAATCCAGAGAAACAAACATATTCATGTATACTGAATGTGTATTTTACTGAACTCAAATAAAAATGCTATGTATTGGGGAGCAAATCACACGGAATGCATCATTAAATGACTAATATTTAAGTTTTTTGTCCTAGTCCGCCCAAGAGGATGCATTCCAATGAATGGGTCATGTTCGTGTTTAGTAACAAGGAAGTTACAAATTGAATATTCTTTGGTATACCACAAAGGCTACCTACACACTGAATGCGAATTACTTAATCCATTTGGGCAATCATTTGCAGAGAATCATACAATTCTGTTTTGTAAGCCACAAAAGAGACAATCACGTCTCCTTCTTAGCAAGAGAAACCAATCTGGTTTCCTATTACAATGATTTTTAAAAAAGTTTTAAGAAGCAAAGCAAGGATAACAAGCTTCACTGACATATTAGAGCTTGTTTTAAAACTGTCAATCATGCTTTCCAAATTGGACTATAACATGGCAATGCAATTAAGAAGCCTTTCTGGTGGGGTCACATACATATTATGCCACAATTTTTTCTTTATCTGTAGCGTAGCTTAATGGCCAGACTTGACCCCCAAAACATGTAGATCGTGGTTTGTGGTTTAGCCTGAGGTGTGGATCTAGCCCACCCTGCTTGCTCAGAAGAAAAACACAAACACCATCACGTACCCTGAATTTCTGCCTGCCTGCCAAATTGGTAACTTAACAACCTCCAGGTCAGTACGACAGTATAGGCCAGGGGTAGGCAACCTTGGCTCTTTTATGACTCCTGGACTTCAACTCCCAGAATTCCTGAGCCAGCCAGGAGGGGTTTCCAAGCTGAGCCAGGCTGGCTCAGGAATTCTGGGAGTTGAAGTCCACGAGTCATAAAAGAGCCAAGGTTGCCTACCCCTGATATAGGCAATCCTTGATTTATGACCATAATTGAGCCTGGAATTATGGTTGCAAGCTGTGTTAGTCATTAAGCAGGTCACCATGCGACTTGTGACTGATTTTACAACCTTTTTCACGGCCGTGTCGTACACAGATACGGGTGGCCATTAAATTAACGCCACAATATTTCCACAAAATAAAAACTGCTCTCCTCTATCGGAACCATGACGCACCGAGGCTGTTAAGCAAATCCATTCTCCACAACGGGTATTTTTTGCCAGACAAACCAAAATGCCGGTTTGTAGCAAAATACAACCAACTGCGGGAACTTCAAATCCAGATTCGAAGCAGCCGTGGGGAGGTCTGTCAGAGCTTCGAACGGCCGCTAAGCAATCCATCGTACCTTGAGGACTATTTGCCGTGCTTTGAATCTCGGGTTGCAGAACCTCTTTCAAACAAATGGAACAACGCTAGCATCCAAGTTGTCAGGCAAAGACTAACTTTGGGTGGGGGTTTGTGACCGTGTCTGTGTGGACGTGCCTAAGGATGTTGCCTGTGCCTCTTTTTTATATGAAATTAATTGTTTCTTTATTTAGACTACCTGCAGCCAACGAAGAGGAAAGGCACAAGACATTTCAGCGCTGTGGGGGCTTTGTCGAACGTACCTCGGTCTGAAAGCGAGGAAGTGACCTATAGAAAGACACCTGCGAGGCGTCAACACAGATGCTTTCCTGTTCCGAAGAGGCAGGATGCGATCCAAAGCTGTAGAGGAGAGGAAGGAAACCAACAGGTCAGTGAAAGCTTGCACTCCAGGAAAAGGGACAAATGGCGTGAGTTTTGCACTTTTTTTCAGCTTCCCCTATTGCAGTGGTTCTCAACCTTTTTAATGCCGCGACCCCCAACCGGTCGTAAGTCGAGGACTACTCAACCGGTCGTAAGTCGAGGACTACTCAACGGGTGCAGCACCGTTTGCAGAATGGGACTTTTGGCGGGCTCAGCAGGGCAGAGACAGCCTGGACAATTCCTATTGGCTTTTGAAAGCCAATAGAATTAGACTCTATTCAAGAGAGTCTATTCTATTGGCTTTCAAAAGCCAATAGAATAAAAGGGAGTAGCACAGCTAAGGAAAAGGGGGGGAAAAATGGCGGACTGCGTTGTTTGGCGACCCCCGTGAAATGGTTGTTTGACCCCAAATGGGGTCCCGACCCACAGGTTGAGAACCACTGCCCTATTGCCAACCAGGGGTGAGTCAACTCAACTCAAAACATGCACACGTCCTCTGGAGCGGTGCTTCTCTGCCCATTGAAGCTTTCTGCAATTAACAGCCTGGGCCAAGGAAACAGACTGGAGCACAGGTCAGTTTTACTTGGCCATAAGCTCCATCCTACGGGGCCACGGTCGGGCCCAAAACTTCTGCTGCTAAGCAAGGCAGTTGTGCGTTTTGCCCCATTTTACGACCCCAAGGTGCTTTTTTTTTTTTTTTTCCTCCAGGAGGCAACTGGACTTCTTTGTTTTTTCTTTGAAGACGTTTCGCTTCTCATCCAGGAAGCTTCTTCAGCTCTGACTGGATGGTGGGGAGTGGAAGGATTTGAACCCCTTAAGAAAGTCCCGCTGCCTCGTGAAAAAAGCACCTTTCGGACAACCATGATCCGGATGACTAAGAATCTCCACAGATCAGGGGTCTTCAAACGTGGCCCTTTTATGACTGGTGGACTTCAACTCCCAGAATTCCTCAGCCAGCCTGGCTCAGCTTGGAAACCTCTCCCTTTCCCCTCAGCGTGGCTGGCTCAGGAATTCTGGGAGTTGAAGTCCACAAGTCATAAAAGGGCCAAGTTTGAAGGCCCCTGCACCAAACCAAGGGTTGTAAATCAAGGACTATCTGTATTCAGTGGTACTTCAGAAAGACTTTTACATCAAAGTAAAGTTTTTATGCTCCAGGAATGATGAAGGCATCTTTCTACGCGGCCGTCCAAACCACAATTATGCAATTTCATCCAAGCCCCTGCCACTTTTTACTTTCTTGATTATTCTTCTTGCAAGAACGATACAACAATAAGTGTTGAAAAATACTACATGTGTAAAGGAAAGGAATAATATCCTTTAAATCAGCACCGTTAAATCCTGAATTTTAAAGATAGCAGAACTCCACTTTGATACGTGTGGTTTGTTTGGCACCAAATATTTTTGTTTTGTATCAAATGCTTTTGCTTTTGTATCAAAGTTTTTTGGGTCAAACACTTCTGTTTGTATCCAAAATGTCTCTTTTGCAACAAGTGCTTTGATACACTAATACCCATGCCTGCATCTTTGGATTGATTAGGACAATCATTTTAGTTGCAACACATTTTCCATTGTCACTTATTCCTGACTACCACCCACATACAAACATACACACAGCAAAGCACGGCAGCTGAACAAACACAGCTTTCAGTAGTCTTTGGATTAATTCCCAGATATTTTTCCCCACCCCGGAGGTCAGCTGGATAGTTAAATCAGATTTGTTTAAGCTCTGACTGGTAGCCAACCTGAAGCCTTTTGCCTCCAACATTTCTGACACCGAGCATTGTGAGACATAGGAGTGTAGTAAAGTATTTGTAATTTAATTAAGGAAATCTTTTGATCCAAAAAGGCCAGCAAGAAAGTTACAGGTTTTTAGTTTCTCTGGTTCTTAAGCAATATTTATTAAGAATGGAAAAGAATCCATTATGCCCCCACATTCAGCTTGCTTGGCTGAAATGCCTCATCACCTACGGCTGAAGGTGTAGCTTTAAAACCAAATTACAGATAGTTGTCAACTTGCAATCATTCGTTTATATATAAAAATATATATAAATCCCAAACTCTGTACTTGGACAGTATGCTGTCTAACAAAGAGCATGTGAAGTCTCTCTCTCTCTCTCTCTCTCTCTCTGTATGTGTGTGTGTGTGTGTGTGTACGTGCTTAACATAAAATACAAATAGAAATAAATATAATGGAAAAACGGGAAAAGAAAAGGAATAGAGGAGATAAGTGAGGAAAGGAGAGAAAGAAATAAAAAAGGAACAAAGCAACGACTTAAGTTATGGCAACAGGATAACGTTACAGTCTCAGCTTTTTAGTTAGGCCAAATAATAACCACTAGCCATTTCTATAACAATAAAAAAAATAGCATACGACTTCTAGACTTTATCAGATAAAGGTATACACGAACAAAACAAGTGGGATAAATGATACGGAAGACTTCCGTATCATTTATCCCACTTGTTTTGTTCGTGTATACCTTTATCTGATAAAGTCTAGAAGTTCATTCCTAACTACTCATGGTTCACTTATAATGCGTGTCATAACCCACAATTGGAAAAGGACATATTTTGCCTCGTGTCCAATCCCTGGTCTTCAAAGATGATTCCTGAACTATATGTCTTGTACCTAGAGACTTCCGGGCTTTGAGAGGACAGCCTTTTGAGCATTACGAGACTAAAAAAAAAAAAAAGGCCAAAGATCAAGGGCAGCCTGTCCTATTCAGCCCAACATGAAGATGCCATCATGCCAAAATCCCAGTATGAAATGGGGGCCTCTTACAGGAAGGAAGCCAACTCATTTCCTTTGTAACTCCAGGATACAATAAAATAAAATAAAATAAAATAAATATACCAGCTGGCATCTGAGGATTTCCCTCTCTGACCGCAGCAAGATGAAATGTTATATAAAGTTTTCAAGTTCACAGCATTACCAAAAAAAAAAAAAAAAAAGATGCCTCAGCCAAATGCCTGATAAACCTAGGGGAAAAATGCAGGCATAATAAACCGTGGTTTGTTTCTTCTCATTTCCCCCCTTCCCCCCCAGTTTTTCAAACCCATCTTTTCCATAAGAAATTCTGGTCCAATGTCTTTGTTGTATCTTAGCGAAATTCTAAAAAAACTGAAGTGGGAAACTGAAATGACGTTTCCAGCTAAGTCTGCAGTCAAAAATAAAATTTCAGAAACCCCAAAGGACAGCTATTGAATCTTTGAAAAATATTATTTCAATGAATGTGTAAGTCTGCTCATCTCAGAAATATGACTGTATTTGGCTGGGCATCCTGCTATTAATTAGCTATTGAAGCCTTCTGCCAACAACTCAAACATTGTAGGTTCTGTCACAAAGCTCACACTTCTTGCAAAATGGATTGAGCAAGAATACTGTTGTACTCAAAACACTTCCCATGAATGTTCTGGACAGGGTGGAGAGCCCATAACTTTCCAGAGGCAACTGATTGACAAGTCCAAGCACCTCTTATCTCATCATCATAGTAAAAATTATAGTTTAGCAACGTCAGATTTTTGTCTCTATTCTAAAAGATGCTCTCCGTGTAGGGAGACCTGCTTTTGATCCAACTTCCTATTTTTATTTTCTTTTTTCATATTTTTGGGCACCACCCATCTTCCTCAAAGATTTTATTAATGTGCCTTCTGAGCTTATGATAGTGGCAGCATCCAGGATTTATATTTATATTATATTTATAATTTACATTATTGTGTAAAAGTAAAGAGTTGAAGTTGTAATGCTGTTATCTTCTACTGTGCTAAAGAGAGTCAGAAGTCAATGCCTTTTTTTCTTTTCCCCTTCTTTTTCCTTCTCCCTTTTTTCTCCCTTAGTTTCTCATTATGTTCATTTTCTTTGTATTTTATATTCTGATAAACTAATACAGTTTTCACACCGGAGTTTAGTAAATAGACTTAGGAAAATGATGCAGGAGACAAAGTCACTAGATAATAGCTTGTATGCCTTGAAGCAGGGGTCTTCAAACTTGGCCCTTTGATGACTTGTGGACTTCAACTCCCAGAATTCCTCAGCCAGTCCACAAGTCATCAAAGGGCCAAGTTTGAAGACCCCTGCCTTGAAGCATCTGCAATTATGAAAGATTTTAACATTTAAGCCAGATAACCAACCATCCAGATTCTACCTGA